AATTAAGGCTAACTTTCAAAGTCATACAGCGGAAGTCTAAAAATGAAAACCAACTTTCAAAATAAAACTTGAGTTCAAAACCTCAAAACGAAATTAAAATAAAACGTTCACAACTTGGAACCAATTCAAACATAGCCCTTTTAAAAACCAACTTAAAAATAAAGCATAACAATGGTAGTGCATAATCAACAAACCAATAATTCAAATTATAAAACTAAGAAAGCATAACTAGTAACTCTCTGCACTCAATCCGTTCATACTCCTCATGCTTCAAGTACCTGTCACTTTCTCTTTATTTCAACATGAATATCCTAGCATCAATAAAATTTAAAACATGCTCGCCGTATAATAACAAGTCATCTTACCTTTGACTCATACTAACAATATTAATTAATAAAAATAATTTTGGATCACACATCGAACGAGTTTCCTTCCCTGAAAAGAGCCAATTTAAATATTGAGCTTCAGATTAGGGAGTTACCCCAACTAGCACCTACTACGTCACACTTGTGACGGAATTCCAACCCAATAATAATAAAAGAAAGTACAGCATCCTGTACCCCTGTAGAAGTTATTGTTAAATATAAAACGCCATAACTCCTCTCATATGTTCATACTCCAGGTGTATACTTTCCAAGAGTTTTGGTGCGTATCCTCTTACACTTTACGTGATTTAGCAATTTAACTTGTGATGACTCCAACCAATCAATCAAGAACAAACATAATAACAATAAACGTGTACTTCCATTTAATTCTTGAATTAATTAGTGAGCACATACTATTTATTTTAACTAAGGTTCCTTCCCTAGTTTTGTGCACAAAATTGTACGATTACTACCTTGGCGCATAAGATGCACTACTAAACGTCCTTGACTCAAACTCAACTTACATGAGTGAGTAAATAATTAATCTAGCTTCTTGACTCAACATCAATAATAAATGGGTGAGAAATAAAAGCATGAATCATGCTCAATAATTCTAACTTTAGCTCCCTTAAACATACATATGCCTTGCTTATTAAATTCATGTTTTCTTGATACTTGAAAATAAAACATACTTCCATGATTCACACATATTCAACTTGTATCATGCCTCAAATAACATATTCACATGCTTGCTTACTAATTCATGATCAACCATCATCAAATTCAAGCATATAATCAACCAAACATGCTACAAATGCATCACTTGAAAACACTGTATATTCCTAGTATGGCTAGAAATCACCTAGATAAAACCTTCCTACAAATATAAATACATAACTATAATCAATCCACTAGTCTCACAAATTTTCAGCAATTATATTACAATTTAATTATTACTAATTAACCTAATTTAATGGTTTAAAAGCCATAAAACCTTTTCTTTAAATAGGTACATTAAATACTATCAAAAAGACTTAGTTTTCATGACTAAAATTCCAACATACTTATTTTCTATAAAACATAATAGACTAGGAAATCATATTTAAATCATTAAAACCTTTTTCCCTTTTATGGGTAATCAAACCCTAACACAATAATTAAAAAGTAGTGTGTATAACTAAATTCTAGCATTAATTGAGGGCTTAGAACTCATTATAATTATGTTGAAATCATTAATTTAACAATCACAACTGTTTTGAGGTTTTTGGAGTCCCTCGGGAGAGTTACAATTCAGGGAATGCGCGTCGACCGTCTGTACCTGCAAAACCACGAAACTCCGGTTGGGTGGAGTTCTGCCTCCGACGATCAAGTTAGAACGTTTCCAGATGTATAAATGTGCGGAAAGTAAAGGCTTTTCTCTCTGATTCAGAGAGAACTCTGCAATTAATATTGCTCGGTTTTTGTGTTTGTATTTATGAATGTGTAATAAATGAGGATTTTCCTCTATTTATAGTGAGAGGGGATCAGTTCCCCTTTTAGGGTTAACGTGCCACGTGTCAGCGGAGGATTGGATCCCCTTGGGCCTCTCTAAGGCTGACACGTGTCACCATACCATTGGTCCACGTGGCATAGGGTAATTTTACCCCAAACAACAACAACCTAGGATCAAACACTAACTATAAATATCAAATTCCCAAATTCTAGGTTTTTGATTAAATTAAAATCTGAAAATTATAGAAAAAAATTAACAACATCAACTACCCAAAATCAATTCCAAAACATAATCAAAATCATGCTTTAATTTATTTAAAACAAGCTAGAATTAAATTAGGAGAAAGAAATAGGTTTTCTTCTTCTTCTTCTTCTTCTTCTTCTTCTTCTTCTTCTTCTTCTTCTTCTTCTTCTTCTTCTTCTTCTTCTTCTTCTTCTTAATACAGAACCGCAAAAAGGGAAGGAGGAGGGTGGCGCACGACTGCTGCCGGTGTTGCCGCTGCTCGCCGGTGATCACCGGTGATGGTGGTGGCGCTGGTGGTCGGCGGACGTGAGGGAAAAGAGGAAAGAGAGAGGCGTGGGAAAAAGGAAGAAAAAGAGAGGAAAAAGGAGAGAGAGAATAGGTAGAAAACTTTTGGGATTTTTGTGAATCTGACAATATGATTTTTGAGTGTAAAATTCTTCGAGTTTTAAGGTATTTATATTCCCCTTTTTAAAACAAAAACACTTATTTACCAAAACTACCATTACTAATCCTACTTCCCCTTAACTTCTCCCTTGAGGCCAACTTGTTGGGCTCTTAAGTGTTTTTTAATTTTCAACAAGTTGATCCAACAATTTAAATAATTTTGACCAATTCAAAACACTTTAATTGCCTCAATTAATGACTCATATTATTTTATACACACTTATTTGATATTTAAATAATTAATTCTTCAAAATTTTATGAATCATTTTTAATTTATAAATAAAATGAATAAAATAAATAATTTATACATATAAAAATATTATAAAATATGGAGTATTACAGTCTACCCCCCTTAAAAGAAGTTTCGTCCTCGAAACTTGAGCACAAAATTAATAAAACTTTGTTCAAAATTTGTTTAAAATTACATTTTTTCACCCACTTTGTAAGAACTTTTCTTAATACTTATAGTTGTAATATTTGTAACCTTTCTTGTTCTCTTTCTTTCTAAATTTTGTATAAAATTGTGCAAAATGTACTAAGAACGCACAAAAATGCTTGAAATGAAGGTAAAAAGAGCGAAATTCTACCACATTTTATCCCCCTTAAAGAAGAAGAGTTACGACCCCGTAACTTAACTAACCTTCAACAATTCTGGGCACTTCTTTCTCATTTCATCCTTAGCTTCCCATGTCGATTCCTCAGTTTCTTGATTCGACCACAAAACCTTTACAATCTTGGCATCCTTTTTGCGCGTACTACGCATTTTACTGTCAAGGATCTTTACAGGTCTTTCCTCATATGTTAGGCTTTGGTCTAGTTCTATGGTTTCAGGTTGTAGGACATGAGATTTGTCTAGGATGTACCTTCTCAACTGAGAAACGTGAAACCACATTGTGTACCTTGATGAGGTCTATTGGCAATGGCAATCTATAAGCAACTTTACCTATCCTTTGCAAAATCTCATATGGTCCAATGTACTTTGGACTCAACTTCCCTTTCTTTCCAAATCTCATAACCCCTTTCATTGGTGAAACCTTAAGCAATACCTTATCACAAACTTGAAATTCCTCTTCCCTACGCTTTAAATCCGCGTAACTCTTTTGTCTATCTTGAGCAGCTTGAATCTTAGCTTGGATTTCTCTTACTTGCTTCGTAGTTTCTTCTATTAATTGAGGACCTAGGATTATTGTCTCGCTAATGTCACTCCAACACAGTGGACTTCTACACTTCCTTCCATACAAGGCCTCAAATGGTTTCATGCCAATGCTTGCATGGTAACTATTGTTGTAAGAGAATTCTATATAGTCCAAGCTATTTTCCCATCCTCCTTAGTAATCTAACACACATGATCTTAACATATCTTCCAAGGTTTGGATAGTTCTCTTAGATTGTCCATTCGTTGCAGGGTGGAATGCTGTACTCATCTTCAATGTCGTACCAAAGTTCTCCTGAACACTTTTCCATAATTTCGAAAGAAACCTAGAATCCTATCAGAAACGATATCCTTAGGAACTCCAAGTAGCCTCACAACATTTTTGATGTAAGCCTTTGCAAGTTTTTCCATTTTCCAAGTCTTTTTAATTGGTATAAATAATGCCGATTTGGTAAGTCTATCCACACAACCCAAATGGTATCATTTCCATTCTTAGACTTAGGTAAGCTAGTGACTAAATCCATTGAAATGCAATCCCATTTCCACGCTGGGATCTCGAGTGGTTGCACTATTCCCTATGGTCTCTTATGCTCTATCTTAACTTTCTGATAGGTTAGACATTTGGGCACGAACTCTGCCACTTCTAACTTCATCCTAGGCCACCAATACACCTTTTTCAAATCCTTATAAAGCTTGTCTCCTCCTGGATGTATTGAATAGGGTGTATTGTGCCCTTCTTCCATCAACTTTTTCTTTAATTCCTCACACTTTTGTGGTACACACCACCTCCCCTTGAATCGTATATTCCCATCATCATGGATTTTGAAATCAAACGCCTTCCTTTGATTGATCTTCTCCCTTATGCGATCTAATTTCTCATTTTCTACTTGGTTATCCTTCATCTCATCAAATATCGTTGGTTGGATACTTAAATTATTAGGAATTTCTTTAAACGTTCCATGTGGTACTACCTCGAGGTTCAACTTACTCGTTTCTCTACAAAGCTCGTCTACCACGACTAAAGCATTCACCCCATGAGTTGCTTTACGACTTAAAGCATCCACGACTACATTCGCTTTACCCTCATGGTATTGGATATCTAACTCATAGTCATTGAATAATTCTAACCACCTACGTTGTCTCATGTTCAATTTTGATTGCTTGAAAAGGTACTTCAAACTCTTATGGTATGTGAATATCCTAAATTTCACTCCATATAAATAATGTCTCATATTTTCAACACAAACACTATTGATGCAAGCTCTAGATCATGAGTAGGGTAGTTAACTTCATGTTTCTTCAATTATCTCGATTCATAAGCAATTACCTTCTCATGCTGCATCAAAACACATCCAAGTCCATTCTTAGATGCATCACTATACACATCATAAGAACCACTTCCATTTGGTAAGGTTAACATTGGCGCTGTTGTCAAACTGCTCTTCAAGGTTTGAAACGCTTCTTCACACTTATCACTCCAAATGAACTTATATTCCTTCTTCATCAATAAAGTCATAGGTCTAGCTATCTTCAAAAAGTCCTTCACAAACCGCCTATAATATCCAGCTAGGCCTAAAAAGCTTCGAATATCCGACACATTCTTAGGTGTAGGCCACCCCTTTACTGCTTCAATCTTTGCAGGGTCTACTCCTACTCCTTCTTTGGATATAAAATGTCCCAAAAATGCTACCTTCTCTAACCAAAACTCACACTTCGAGAATTTGGCATACAACTAGTTAGTCCTTAAAGTAGCTAACATTGATCTTAAGTACTCTGCATGATCCTCCTTATTCTTTGAATAAACCAAAATGTCACCAATAAACACTACAACGAATTGGTGTAGGAAAGGTTTTAACACTCTATTCATCAAGTCCATAAAAATTGCAGGTGCATTTTTCAATCCAAAAGACATTAATGTAAACTAATAGTGTCCATATCTTGTCCTAAATGACGTTTTTAAAATTTCCTCTTCCGTAATTCATAGTTGATGATATCCATACCTCAAATCAATCTTAGAAAACACTACCGCACCCTTTAACTAGTTAAATAAGTCATCTATCCTACGCAAAGGGTATTTGTTCTTTATGGTTCTTTTGTTCATTCCCTATAATCGATGCATAGCCTCATGCTACCATCTTTCTTTTTCAAAACAATACAGGAGCTCCCCATGGTAATGCACTTGGTTGTATGTACCCCTTCTCCAAAAAATCTTGTAGTTGTCCCTTTAACTCACTCATCTCTGCAGGTGCCATCCAGTAGGTGCCTTAGAGATAGGTGCTGTTGCAGGTACTAAGTCTATGGTTCTTTCTGGCGGCATACCTGGAATCTCTTCTGGAAACACATCTAAGAACTCCTTCACCACTTCAATATCCTCAGGTTTATATGGTTCCATATACTCCATGTTTTTAACACTACAGAAATAGATTGGGTCCCCTTTCTTCATATACTTTTCCAACTTCATCATAGAAATGATCTTAGTGTGTCTCTGTTTTCCATGCCTCTAATGGGTTACAAGCTCTCCCTGAGTCGTTTTCAAGAGAATGACATCGAATCTCACCATTATAGCGACATAACCAATCCATTCCTAGAATTATATCGAGGTCTCCTAGTTCAAATTCAATCAAGTTAGACATAAATTCCTTACCCTTAATCTTTATAGGAACATCCTTATAGACCCTAGGACAATGAACTACACTCCTAGTTGGAAGTTCTATAGGAATATCTCTGTCATCTACATTTTTCAGACAATACGATAGTTTTAGAAGCATCGCTTTAAAAATGAAAGAATTCATTGCATCAGAATCAAACAGATTTTTAACAGGAATTAAGTTTATAGAAAATGTACCAGTAATGACATCTCTCGTTGCGTCAGCCTCATGCGAACCCATCACATTAAGCTTCTCTGGTGTTCCACCTTTGACTTGTGCATTCCAACCATTAGTATTCTTGTTTCCGTTTTAAAACTGCGCCCCCTTGTTCACTTGATTCCCATTGCAACCCTAACCTCCTTTTTGTTATTTCCAATTCTGTCCATTACCCTTAAATTGATTGTTTCCTTAACCCTCTTTATTCTTAGAAAAACACTCGTTTGCCCTGTGTCCTTGCTTGTTACATAGGTTACAAGTGACTAAGTTTCCATCACAGTCCTTCCCCGGGTGATTGTTTGAACATCTCTTACAATAGTATATCCTTTGATTATAATCTCCAGGTTGGTTCCCATTTCCCTTAGGAAAGTTGCACCCACCTTGGTTGTTCCTATTGTTCTAGAAGTTATTAACTTGGTGGTGATTAAACTTCTGCTTCTTAAAGTTATTCTGGTTTCTAGATGGTCCAGAACTGGTCATAGGCTCATTTCTTTTCTCCCTAGCATCCAACTTAGCCTTTTCATCTTTTTCCTTCAACTCCAACGCATGTAAATGCACTTCCCTACCATACAACTCATCTAAATTGTCAAACACTTGCTCTGACAACTTTCCTTTGAGAGAAAGAGGCAATCCCCTCTCAAACCTTCTAGATTTCTGCCTATCAGTAGCCACCGTATCTTCAGAAAACCTAGATAACTCGATGAACTTAGTGTAATTTTTTGTCACCAACATACTTCCCATCTTAAGTTCTAGGAACTCATCAGCTTTTGGTTTTGGCAAGAACATAGGGTAGATATTATCCTCACTTGTTCCTCGAACACATTCTATCCAAAGTTAGGTAATGCTCTCACAGTTTTCTCATTCTGCTGCCACCACAAATCTGCCTCACCCCTTAAGTAGTAAGCTGCACTACTCACTTTGGACTCGTATGGACATACTATTGCCACAAAAAACTTACCGAACTCTCTCAGCCAGTTTTCAAGGAGAGTTAGGTCATGTTCTCCCTGGTAGGTAGGAGGTTTGCTTTGGGATATCTTCTTAAACAACTCCCCAGCAGGGTCAGGACTGTTATTCCTTTCAGCTAGTTGTTGGGCTACAACAGCTAGTTGCCTTACTACTTCATTCATATCATTGTTATTGTTGTTTCTCCCTGCCATCTTAGTCCTCCTGAATAAAGAAATGAATACTATTAGGTTGGTCACGACTCTCTTATAACTAGACAACAACCAAGCTACTTTGATCCAAGCATACAAGCAGTCATTTTGAATTAAAGTAGAAGCACCTATTCATTTCTCCGACTAATAATTCAACACATCGTATTGGTTGTCATGCAACCATTTCACTTAGGTAAGCACATCACAAAAATACTTTTGAGTCATTTCCCTTGATACCATTTACATAAATAAAAATAATAAATGACACTTGATAGGCTTGGTTGAAGATTGAAATAAATAAGAAAGAATAAATAATACTTTATTGAAATAAGGAAAGAAATGTTTAGAATATCCCAAATGTAGCTTTGCTACTTATTACTCATACGCGGGACTTTATTAAACTGTAACTATAAATAAAGAATGAAATAAATACTTAAAACACTAGGAAAAAGTTAGTCTAAGATCTTCAATGTGTTGACCTTGTCAATCTTGTCTTTGATCTCCTTGTACTTCTTTGGATTATACTTAGGATTACTCCCATTATCACCATCATTGCCACCATCATCATCATCATCATCATCATCATCATCTTCCTCAGGATCTATTTCTTCATCAAGGTCTTCGTCAGATTCTAAGTTAATAATTACTGGAGGGCTTGGAGGATTTGGATTAGGAATGACTCTTCATGAGGTGTCTCATGACTCATTATCATGCTCCATTGGCTCACCTTGACTCTCATAAGTTTGCTCAGGTTCTGAATCATACATAGAATCATAGTATTCTGAATAATAGTAAGGTGCATTTTTTTGTGGAGCTAGATCACCAAAGTTATGGTAAGGTGGAGGATAAGCAACATATTGAGGGTTAAGGTAAATAAATTCTTTGTGAGCAATGTAACGGTATAAGTATCTCCAATCTGCTCCCCACTGACCATTAGAGTCCTTATACTTAGTATAGTTAGCAACACCATTAGGCATATGAAAATTAGAAAGCGACTCTTAATAGCCTCATAGGGAGGATAGTTAGGCAAACAATGAACAATCATGGCAGAGACATAGTCAGGTTGGTCAAGATGGCGCTCTCCAAACACATCAAATCTATAAGAATAGTAAAAACGAATCCTGCGAATATAATCCCACACATGCTCATAGTCTTTCTTTGCTAAAGTCCCATGTCAGTGAATCTACTAGGTAAATCAAACATCCTGCAAGGTATTTTGGGTCATGAATCAATAAAGAAAATTCTTTTTCAACTCAATTATGCAGTTCATTGCAAAAAATTTAAGTTTGGTGTTCAATCATACAATTTATATCAATCCACATAAACATGCTTTCACTTAAATACATATCATCATCCAACATGATTGAACACCTTGTATAAATATAATATGCACATAGGAAGACATACAATTCTAGCCTAATGCCCTTTCTTTCCTACCCAATCTCACCACATGCTTTCAAAAGCGATTAACACATAATTACATACCTTAATTCCTTCGCATACCTGCGCACATAATAAATTTTTTTTATTAAACTTTATTTTCGAGAACTAGTTATTTGAAATAATAAAATATATTCAGACCCCAATTTTAAAAAAAAAAATTCAACCCTTATTATTAAAAAAAAAATTCGGACCAATTAAATAAAAAAAAAGAAAGAAAATTGTCGGCCCCCTTAAAAAAATAATCGGACCTCTAAAAAAAAATATTTTCAAACTTAATTAAATAAGCACTTGGCAAAGCTTTAAAACATAGGTACCTAAAAAAACGTTTTTGGCTTTAGTGGTAATTAAAATTCAACCTGGCTCAGATACCACTTTGTAATACCCTGAAAATTTCCTCATTTTAAAATACTCTTTTTACTCTAAATAAAACCCTTTTTAGGAAATAACCAAATTATTACCGCCACCGTAATAACGGCTAAGGCTATTTTTCAAAGTCACAAACGGAATTCTAAAAATTAAAACCAACTTTCAAAATAAAACTCGTTCACAACCTCAAAACGAAAGTAAAATAAAATGTTCACAAGTTGGAACCAATTCAAACACGACCCTTTTAAAAACCAACTTAAAAATAAAGTATAACAATGTTTGTCCATATCAACAAACCAATAATTCAAAATATAAAACTAAGAAAGCATAACAAGTAACTCTCTGCACTCATTCCGTTCATGCTCTTCGTGCTTCAAGTACCTGTCACTTTTGTTTCGGGGTTTTTTGATGTCCTGCGGGAGAGTTACAATTCCGGGACTGGGATCCTTGCGCCTTCACCTGCAAAACAACAGAGACTCCGGGTGGTGAGAGCTTCGCCTCTGATGATCAAGTTAGAACGCGTTTAAGGAGTAAAAGGTGCGGAAAGTAAAAGTGATCTGGTTCCTCTAAGGGGAGGAGTAATCGAGGTGTGCAACTAATGCTAAGTCTGGTCTAACAAGTAGTATGCACGAGGGTTTAGGCTTCTCTAGGTGAGATGATTGATTACTTTTGAATCCCCCTTTAATGAAGGCTAATTACTGTATTTATAGCCTTGAAGTACGTGCCTAATACCTAGGTTAAATGGTAAACCTAGGACTGATTGGGCTTGCCTCGGGATTCGGGCCTCGTTGGCCGTTCTCTAGGTTGGCAATATAGGTGCCACATGCCGTGGCATGGTTGGTCCACGTTAGACCTCCTGAAGTATGACACGTGGCAGCCCTTGATTGGTCCACATGGCTGACACGCGGCAGGTGCTGATTGGACCACATGACAGGGAAATATCCCTTGTACATTTTCCCCTCATAGGGGTCATGTGACTTGTCACGTGATGCCTGTGACAGGTGTCGACTCGTAACCAGGCGACGGCCTGTGACCGTTTTCTCTTGCACTTTTTCATTTCTTTGCATTTTTCTTTTGAAGATATGGTATCCCAAAAGCACCCGGCATGACCTAGTTTAGTGATTAGTCGGTCACCGGGGACGGCTGAATCTAGAACTAGGAGTGTCGCCTGCCTCTTTTTAGACCAATCTCTGCCCTGTGCTCCAAGTCCGACTGTCTCTGTGTCTATGCAGGACACTATGGCCAGAACAAAGAGGACGACCATATATACAAATTCAGACGGCTCTTCATATTATGTTCAGATGAGCGAGATCTCGGACCAGCCGCCCGGTCCCCCAATCACTCCGAGCGATTCAATTTTGGGAGAATCTGAGGAGGTTCAAGGGGCCACTCCTATGCTTGTTGATATGTCAGGACTAGAGCCGGTCCTTTCTGAGAAAGAGGAGTCGCCCTCTTCTGAGAGCTCAAGTGACTCTGAGTCTAGCTCATCTAGCCGGCAGTCTCCAGACTCAGAAGAGAGGCATTCTCGTCTTCATGAGGCGAGAGCGTCTCATGCTGTAGAAAAGGGAGTCGGCTGGGATGAGCCGTGTGCTTCTCATAGGGAATTGAACACTCCCTACTATTGTCATGTCCCAAAAGGCCGAATTAAGGCCATGGCCGAGAGGTTAGGGACCTTTCAGGCGGACCATGTAATGGGTCCCGATTATACTCTATCAGTGCCAGATGTTGAGGATACAGTAGTCTGGCCTGAGGGGGCCAGCTATGGGGACGCCTACTTTGGCTGTTATGAGGCGGCCATTAAGGCTGGGTTAAGATTCCCTTTGCATCCGGCTGTTCAACAAATCCTGGATGGGTACCAGGTGGGGCTCTGGCAGTTGGCCCCAAACTCGTGGTTCAACATTCTGGGATTTGTAGCTGGCTTTGAAATGTATGGGGTTGAGCCAAATTTTGCAGCGTTCGCCCAAATGAATGAGTCGGACCCCAAAAAGTGGTACCGACTGGTACAAGATTTCCAGCCATAAGGGCTACTTGATGACAAGAGGGAAGGAGAACAAGTGGAAG